AAGGCTCAGCTGATCTATCTCTCCGCCAATAGTGGAATACATAACCTATTATTCATGGTGCAGCAGCTGGACGTCTTCTCTCAGTCAGAAGCACGGAACGTTGAACCTTCAATTTCCAACTACCGATCCCACCAAAATACGTCACTGGGCTCATATGTTCAACTGCCAGTAGACAGCTGGCGATTTACTAGAAAAGGTAGTCCTTCTCCCAACTGACCGTTAGGTGGTCTGTCGATTTCGGAGAACCGTCCGGCGGCTGAGCCTTTGACATCTGACACCGAAATGAGCCACGCCTCTGACGGGTACAGACGTCATTCTGGGATGGGATCAGAGGTGCAGCGGTCCAGAGTCAAGGTGAGGGCTGAGCTGCGCTTACCAAAGTGATACTGAAGGTAATCACCGTTATGAAGACTAAAAATAGGACCCTGTCAGCTAAAGCGCTTTTGCACTCTCTCGACGAGGCAATGCTGCTTGGCGGTGAGTTTTTTGAGTGAGGGATGCGAAAAGTTCCTGTCTGACACGATGCTGATTACATTTTTGTGTAGCTGAGCAAGGCATGAAAGGGAAACGGCGCGCTGGCTACGGCCAATATGTTTCTCTATTTCCATACTCATTTGTGAGGAAACTGATTTTTTTCACAATAGACCTGAAAGTGGTATCATGGGACGTGGTGGTCAAATTCGAGCTTACCATACCAGAAGCTGGGTCATGCTCTCGCAATGGAAAGTTGCTACCTGCTGGTCATCCCATTTAAAGGTAGTGTGCCAGCTTTCCTGGACCGTATGGAGTTAATGGCCCAGATAAGGAGAACCGGATTTTTAGAACTTATCCATACCCTCAAAACTCATGGAAACGTCTTAAATTCTTCAAATTTTGAGTACCCCAGTGCGAAATTCGCCCCGACGGGTTGTCGGTCGTACCCCAACCACATTTCACACCACTATGAACAATAAATGCACACACTGAAATCGCTATTACCGATAGGCTCATCCAATCAAGTTTCGATAAACCCGTTCATCATCATCTCCTGCGGTTTCGAACACGCCTGTGAGGTGGTGCGGTAGATCGCGCCCAAAGCCAGGGCCCCGGGGGCATTCCACGTCAAATCGAACAAAAATCGGCTGTTTTGCACCTTACCATCAGCGATTTCATTATAAATTTGTGAGCGAGTTCCTGTGTCGCCCCGAACATTACATCGATGTTTTTTTACACATTCTGACCACAGGTCTTCTAAATATAGGGCATCGAATTTTTACAAAATGTTGCATCTTTATATTTTTGAACGACCATAACTTTGGTTGTACTTGTTTGATTTGAATGAAATAAACCTTACTGTTTAGGTAATTTCTTAAGCATTTGTTTAGAATTGCACCTACTTAAATATATGACCTTGAAATTTGCTTAACTCGGTTCTTAAGCACAAAAATTGAAATAGCAAAAAACACGTCACCTTCGATTTAGCTAATTTTCATATATTATATTGCCTACCATATTCTTAACAACCTGTGAAAAAATTAGAGTGGGCCATTCATAAGTTTTGAAGAAAATGGCACATATGCAAACGTATGTTAGCACGCGCATTGGAGGGGGAAGAGTGAATTTCGCCCCACCCCTCCTGTTTTTCGCCAATATCTCATAGTATTAATGCGAAATTAATTATAGCTACCTGTCCAAAATTGAATTGCACATCTCATCGTGCAAGCAAGAAGAAAATCGGTTCACAACTGGTCTAGTAATAGCGGTGTAAAGTGAACATCCTGTCGCCGCGGCGACACGGCGACTCGGCAGCCGGCGCCGACCGCTAGCCGCCGCCTGAATTGTAGACTGTGCCGGGACGGAACGGAACGGTTCCGTCTTTACATCGCGCTCCTTACCGCTGATTACGTTCGATTCGCGTCAAATTTTGTGAGAAGACTAAGAAATGTACAGGCAATCTTATGGTGTAAGAATTTTGAAAATCTGTCGGTAAACAATTGAAATATGAACGTGTAAACACAAAATTGTGATTGCTGCGTTTCCCGCGTCGGCCGATCCCGCCTCAGCCGGCGACATGTTACTCTTAGCAGGTCTCTAACTGCCATATTTATTATTGGATTAACTAGAAATTCCCCATACATACTCAAAAATGTATATTCTTTCGTATAGTGAAGATAAAAAGACGTGAAGATATCGTTGCGTGATAATGTTTTCGTTGAATTTTTGACTTCATGATGCATTTCCGCACGGCTCAAAATTCACCGCAAAATACCGTTTGCCTGAGACACTTTTACTATGGAACTTGAGTGCTTGACTACGATAACCATGTATTTCCATTCTCACAGAGTTTGGGATATCACTAATCAGCAATCATTCATTTCAGAAAGTGTACACAAGCAAGCATGTCTTGACTGTCTTTCAAGGTCACGCGCGGTTGCGTGATGTTGATGCATGAAAACGGCGTTTGCCGCGAGAGTTATGAATGGCCCACTCCAATTTTTTCACAGATGGTTAGGAACATTGTGACGGACATAATATGTAAAAATTACCCGAATCGAAGGTGACGTGTTTTTTGCTATTTAAATTTTTCTGTTTTAATTCAAGGTCAAATGCATTTCAAGGTCACTTCAATTTAATTTTATTATTAAAAATCAAAGCCTTATCAATTGCCTACAAGACCCTGTTAATATCATTTTGATACCAGAAAAGGCACCAGAGTTATAGACATTAAAAAAATTGATGTGTGGCATTTTTGGCTATATTCGATGACATATATCTCAGCGATACTTTATCAAATTTCGAAAATATTATACGTAACTCAGTTTTGAACCATGCCCAGTCTGCCTACAAATTTTCAGAAAAATCGAAGGGGATGACGGATTTCGGTGTTTGATTTGACGTGGAATGCCCCCCCGGTAACGTGAGGTAGCCGAGTCGGGGCAGCGTGCGCTGACCCAAGCCGGGGCCGCTCGTCCTCCCGGTGTCATGTGATAGCCCGGGGCTGCCCGCAGGGATGCGGTAGACCGTGCCCAAAGCTGCGGCCCCGGCTTGGGTCAGCGCACGCTGCCCCGACTCGGCTACCTCACGTTACCGGGGCCCTGGCTTTGGGCGCGGCTTCTGCTCATACTTTGTGGTGCGGTGGTGGTGCGTCGGGCCGCGCGCTCTGACTTCGGCCAAGAAAAATGCGTCAGCTGATCATTGTCATTTCTGCCACTTGCGTGTGGTGAAATGGGGTCATAACTTAAGAGACGGCTTTTTCATATTAATTATTTTACATAAAATCATATTTCAAACCATAAATAGTGTTCGACAGCCAAATAAAAGAAACAATACCAATACAGGCTTACAGTTTAAGGCTCGACATTGTGTTGTCTACGATTAGACAGCTGATAACTCATTCCCGTACGTCGTAACTCTATAATGACCTTTGCTTATTGTCACATGTGCGCCGCATTCGCGATTGTTGCCGACGCCTGTTTGCAGGTCAGCCCACTACAGTTGTTATACATATCGAAAAACCGATAAACTTTTAGGCGAAAAAGGCACTATTCCAGGCCCATTATTATTTTTTGCGATATTAGGTAAAAACAGAAGCTTCTTATCCTAGGAAAAATAAAATGGGAAATCTTTCAAAGGTGGCACACTACCTTTAACCCGGCAGGCAGTGGGCCTCCCAGCCACCTTCCGCGCGGCGGGGGGGGGGGGACATTTTTGCCCCCCCCCCCGTATCTCCGAAACTTCTTGACGGGTCCGTAAAATTCAAACAGCGTTCGATAGCCCTGTCAAATTTGCCGAAGTAGATCCAATTTCATTGACCTCGGTGTCACCGATGATGTCACAGGTCAGGTCAAAGATAAAATGTCTCACCGTTTGGCGTTTACGGGTCTTCTAGGGAATGCGCTATAACATTGAGTAAAACGCATTTTGTCGAAAATCAGCGATAGGGCGTCAGTTGCCTAGTATATATGTTGCTATAAGAGGTCACTGATCCTACCAGGTCAGGTCATAGGTCAGATCACCAAGGGTCAGCACATGAACCCAACTTTACTAGGGTTGTGCGAGGCATGTTTTATGGTCAATTTTTCATTTCCAACTCAATGGTGTTGGTTATAAGACCAGCAGGTACGGTTTAGGTCACTTTCTGGTGGAGGTCATGTCAAAAAAAGGTCAGGTCAGGTCAGGTCAGGTAAAAAAAGGTCAAATTTCCAAGTTGATAGTTTTGCATAAAATGGATGATGATTTGATGCAGCTCGTCACGGGGAGTATTATGGTGGTCTTTGTTTTGCACTACGTGGTCTAGAATTGCTAAAAATTGCGTTTGAAAATTTGAAGTCAGCGATTTCGAAGTTTTTTGCTCTAACTTGGCCAAAAAAGATGATCTAAAATGTGGTATGTGAATAGAAGTCGTTAGCGGCTATTACATGTATTCCTTTTTTCGCAAATCGAATAGGTAACCTTTGGGATGTTTTTGGTATTATATTTTTAAAAACAAGTTTGTTATATTTGTTGGTCAAATTCCAAACTTTTAAAAATTTCGGGAATACGATATATTAGCCCTGGTAATTCTACACATTTTATGTCTAGAACATTTTTCTGCATCATCAAAGCTATAGGCCTGACAGCTCTTCCGCGAAACCTTTTTTGGGTCGAAAATGACAGAAATGATATCACTCTGACGTCATTTGCGGCCAACCTATCGTAACTTTTGAAAAAAAAAAAATTGGTCACAATGTGACAATGTGTAAAAATTATGCCCGGGAGGGTACTGAAAATTAGGTGACGATCGGCGCAGAGGTTCTGGAGGTGTATCAAAAAAACTAAGGGGGGAGCTAAAAAATGCCCCCCCCCCCGCCTGTAAGGCTAATGCCATTTACCTATGAGTGCGACTGACCCGACCGCACTAGGACCCAGGCTACCTCTTAGACTGGGGCACGCCACCATGTAAATTGATGCGTTGCTGAAATGTCCTGCGATGTGTCCAAACGCCGCTTTCCGTCCTTGGAGCACGGATCAGAGCCACACTTTCACCAGGTTGGTCCCTTTATTGCCAGTTCACCCATGATACACATACACATATACAGTCATCAGTGATCAGAATGTCACGTGTCGTCACTGTATCACCAGTCTGTCCGTCTCAGTCGGTGACAGGTCTGTCGCTACCACAGTCATCGGTTGCACGTAACATCTCCACACACTGGCATAAATAAATAGCTCGGCGTTATAAATACGGCATGCCTACAAAGGCTCCTCCCTAAAACGACGACGGAGTGGGCGCCACAAGCTCCCACTCAGAACTTCGCTAATCGTGAATCTGTTCCTAAACTCTTTCGTCCATCCATCAATCCATTCATTCATTCATTCATTCATTCACTCAGCTCATTGCTGGGTACCTATACATTAATGCTTTACACTTGCAGCTTCCCTACAGCATGTGCCCGGCTTTGCTGTATGTCTGAGTACCGTAGCAAACCACGTAACAGCTATCCAACAACAACGATAACAGACAACAATTCCGTAACAAATAACAACGTCGATACGAAGTCGTGCTGTGCGGTGCGAGACGGCGTCTCTGAAGTGACAAATGTCGACACAGGCAGAGCTGTGTCTTACATGTGAGCGGAGCATGCATTCACCTTACCAGCACTGCCATTTTACCGAGTAAATGGCACCCATTCAGCTACTTTCATTGGCTGCGCCTGAAGTTCCATCTGTATTTAGGCGTCATGCCTACATACATGAATAAATATACACCAAGAATCCCTTCATAAATAACTATACGCACACGTAATCCCATGCTCTGTCTCTGAGCTGAGTACAAAACTTCAAGAGACAGTCGGAGACAAAAGAGATTCCTCGTCCGATACGTTCTTCAATACCAGTCACTGGCCTTGTCTCTGTGGTCAGGTCAGTGTCTCAAACAACACCCGGGGCCTCCTGAGCGGCGCCGGTCACACCGGAGCACGGGTCTGCTCGTTCCGAGTTCGCGGGCCAAGCGCACTCCGCTTCGCACGTGGCATCGACACACGAGCCCAGTTCGTCAGTCCGTATAGTCGAGTTCACCTCGGATGAGCAGACCAGCTGTGGTTGAGGCCGGCTCTCTCAGTCGGTTCGTGATGCCACTGTCCTGACAGCACGGACAGCACGGACTCACTGATCAGGCAGAGAGCCGCCGGCGGTCGGCAGGACCCCGGGGAGAGCTGGAGGGCGCGCGTGTTCACTTTGGCGGCCTCTCCTCACCCGGTCCGCTCGCCCAGCCCAGACTCTCACCGCTGTGAGCAGAGCGGTCACCGTCTCACAGAGATCTCACCACAGCGGGCAGCTCACCGATCCCGTGAGCTCGCTGTGAGCGCCCGGACCCGTGGCAGCTGTGACTGCGGCGCCCTCACGACTGTCCGGAGGTGGCGCGCAGCAGCCAGTCCCTCACAAACGCCACGTTCTCCGGCTGCAGCGCGTCGCGCAGCCAGGTGAAGTCGCTGGGCTCGCGGGCGCGCACCACCGTCGTGCCGTGGTTGATGAGGTAGGTGATCAGTTTGAGCCCGGAGCCGATCACCTGGCCCATGTAGAAGGGCTGCGAGTAGCCGGGCGGTGTGTTGCGCACCAGCGGCTGGCGGCGCTGCGGCCGCCGCCGGCCGCCGCCGAACAGGCCCGAGAAGGAGCCGAACAGGCCGCCCAGGCCCGGCGAGCCGGGGATCGGCGGTCCGTACAGGTCCGACTTCTCCACCACAGGCGCCACCGAGCTCAGCATGTTCATGATGACGGGCGTGGCGCGGCTGAACACGGGCACCACGCCCTGCAGCAGGCCCAGCACGTTGCCCTCCTGGATGTACGTGTAGGCGTCGCCCAGTGCGGCGATCATGGAGGGCCCGTCGCTGCGCACCAGCTGCGTGACCGAGGAGAGCAGCACGCCCAGCTGGATCTGCGGCTCGGGCTCGGCGGACGCCGGCGGAGGACCGCCCGGCGGCGCGTCCGGGTTATAGTAGAACGGCACGCCCGGCGGCCGCGGGGCCCGCGTCGGCGGAGACGGACGGAAAAAGTCCTGCTTGTCCAGCCCGTTGTTGAAGCCGTTGAAGTTGTGCTGCGGTGGCTGGTGGTGCGGCGGCTGCTGCGGTTGGTGGTGCGGCGGCTGCTGCGGCGGCTGCTGTGGAGGAGGCGGTGGCGGCGGCTGGTGGGAGGTCACGGCCGGCTCCGGTCGCGGCGTGGTGTAGAACGGCCAGCCGGCCGGCGCCGCCGGCGCGGGCCGGGCCGTCGGCGGCGGCGGCGGCGGCGTGGCGCGCGTCGTGCTGGTCGTGGTCAGCTGCAGCGCCGGCGCGTCCGCGAAACTGTCCGCCGCGCCGCCGTCCACGGCGTTATTGCCCGAGAAGATCTGGCTGAAGATCTGGAAGCCGGCGTCAAACTTGTCGGCCTCGTCGGCCTCGGTGGTCTTCGAGGTGACAGAGGAGAGCGGGTTGGGCGTCACGCCGTCGGCCGGCGTCTTGGGCCGCTGCGTGGCGAACGGGTTGCCGTCGCGGATGACGTACTTGTCGAAGATGCGCGTGGGCCGCGCGGTGGTGGTGGTGAGGAGGGCGGCCAGCCCGCCGCCGCCGCCGCCGCCGCCCGTCTGGGAGGAGAGCAGGCTGCCGAGCAGGGAGCCGAGGTCGCCCTGTTTGCCGCCGGCCGCCGGCCGCAGCAGCTGCTGCAGCAGACCCCCGCCACCGCCGCTGCCGCCTCCACTGGCCGGGGAGCGCAGTGAGGACGGCAGGCCGGGGACCTCAGGCTCCTCCTGCTCTTCGTGCTGCTGCTGCAGCCAGGCGGCGGCGGCCTCCGACAGCAGCGACTCGTAGTCGGCTGCTCCGGCCATCTCCCGCCGCCCGGCCGCAGCGCCCTCCCGGGACCGGCTCTCCGCTCCTGAGACAGGTGGCGCTCCGCCTGCAGCCACCTCCGGGTGCTGACACCTGGCGGCCGGCGGCAGAACCAGCAGTACCGCCGCGGCCGCCGCCCACACCGGTAACCTAGAAAAAAGAGAGCTCGTGTTAGCGTGAGCGCGCCCATCGCGGCCGGCGGGGTACGGTTCGCCGCACCCGAGAGCACAGGGGTGCCGGCAGTGCGCGAAACTGGTCAGCGGGACGCGCCGCTCACGGATTTGCATTGGTCGCCCAGTTCCCAGCGGCGCCATTCCGCTCGGGTGAACTGGGCCAGAGCGGGGGCCGGGCACGGGCGGCGCGGCTCCGGCCGAGCGGAGCGGCGCTGGGCGTCCCAAGCTGGCAGCAGCAGTAACATCCAGAGGGGCCCTAAACCGACAGCGACACTGCCGGCGCTCCTACCCGACATCAGTAGCGCCACTTGGGATGCAGACGGACTGAGGCAGGAATCGCTAAGCTAGTACGCATCGGATGTTATGCATGAGAACTAATAACTATGGTGTCTTTGTAACGAATCCATGACATGTAAAATGATAAGACAACAATAACTGAATAACTACCGGAGAACAGTTTCAGGACCAGAGACGACAGTAAGCACATTAAAGCAGAGTAGCGCGCAGATGAGATACCTACCTAATGTGGCGCGGAGGACAGCAAGAGTACGGCACCGACACTGGACAGCGGACACACATGACGCGGTATGAAAGGAAAGGACCGAGCGTAACACGAGTCACACCACGGTAACACAGAGGAATGGGAAACAGCCGGCACAATGAACTGCTGCTCCCGCAGACCGTGAACTCCCGGAGACGGCGCGGCCAGGGGTGAAAAATTGTATCGTTTTGTCGTTGTCGACGACAACCGAGAAGACGATCTTATGGCGACCACACGCAGCGCCTGAACTGATTTAGATCTCCCGCTTAGTGCGGATAGAAGCGCGCAGGCCATTCGTCTCTGCCCACCCAACCCAATCGCCTCTGCCCACGCAAACCATTCTCTGCCCCTCCTCCATCAAATCGACTCGCAATTCTCGAGTCCGTTACCACCCTACGCGGTGGCATCTCAGTGGAAAAGTTTCTGGTAGCTACAGAGTACAGACATATTCCAACTTCCCGTAGCCATTTAGTATATACTGCGTCGTTCGACCATCGTTCGGACGGCCGACCGGTGACCCTCATAAAGGCGACCAATGACATACCAAGTGGTCGCCGTGGTTGTCCACTGGCAACACGGGTCTGGCAAATCTAGTACCTTCCAGGACTCGGCCGGCCCCTGCCCGCACCCTTCAGCGCCGCCCCCGGCCGGCGGTCAGTTAGCGTCCCCTCCAATCCGGTGGGGCTCCTTTTGTGAAGTCATATACCCACCCCCGGCGGCGCCTTGGGGGTATGTCCGCAGTGGGACCGCGTCAGTGACGCGGTAATATTTTGATGCGGGGAGGGCACCCCATGTCATGCCCACGAAGATATGGCGTCTCGGGACTTCCGAGGTCGAGAAATAAGAATCGTTGGACATTAAGCCTGACAGCTGAGCGCCCTGCGCTATCAAGGAGAGGAATGTTAGAATGTATTCGCACGCAGGGTCCGTGGCGTCTGCACGGCTAAAGTGCATGTACTAACTACTTGAGCACGTTTTGTGAGTAGAAGAAGGTGAGTAGAAGTCGACCAGTGGCACCGTCGAAGAGTCACGGAAAGGGTCAACTCAAAAGGGCTATCGAATCTTTTCCGCGGCGCCGTAGCTCTATAATTGGTTTCCGAGTTGTGTGCTTGTGTTTCGAAAAAAAGTTGACATCTGGTGACATGACCTTTGACTTAACCTAAAAAGGATTGACATATTGTCGTCTTATTTTGGACGTTCTTTCGAATGCCGTTTACTGCTTGTCACTATATTGACCCAGGATCAGAGTTTAAAAGAACGGGATGCTGGACCCCCCCCCTCCCCCCCAGCAGGTCGTGGAAATCAAGGACCCTCAGCGGAGCGCGGGTTAGACATCTTTAGTCGACAACCAAATAACCCCGTTTTCCTTCGGACGACAACCACCGAAACACTTTTTTCAGCCCTGGGCGCGGCTGAACGGCAGCCTGTGACCAGATTGGGCAGCTACATATACCTATCCGATTGTGCGCTATCGAGGCGGATCTGATCGTCGCCGAGCCATTGATGGATTGTGACCGCCCCACGGCTAATAACGACGGGCTGGGGTCGACGGACGTCAAACCACGGCGGCCGGTGGGCGGCTCAGCCGGCTCTGGTGGCTAGGAGAACTTCAGCCAGCCGGCGTCTGAGTACCTACACCAAGTAGTTTGAAAGGGATCTGGACAGGAGTCTCTGAAACCGCCGTGTTCAGGGGTGTTTGTGTTCTGCGGTGCTCGGTGTGGCCGCCGGCCGGTCCAGTCCGACCAACTGATGATCGACTAGCCCGGAACACAAGACGGATCTATCGGATTTATCGTATCGGTCGAGACGGATCTATCGGCGTGATTCGGCAGAGACCGGGTCACGCCGAGCTGCGCGTCACGCCCCGGCCCGGATCCCGGGGAGACACTGGTGGCGCGGCGGCGACGAATCGCGGCGCACGTCGGCGGCGGCGTTTTTCCCATCCGGGCGGCGGTGGCGTAGGGCCGAATTCGGGTCAGCCAGCTGAGAGAGAGGCGGACGCGCCGCCGCCGCCGCCGCCGCCGGTGACGCCGGTGACGCGCCCGGTCGGTGCTCGGGCCGACCCGGCTCTCACGGCGCCGGCCGCACCGCCAGAAATCGCCACCCAGTGACGTCAGTGACTGTCAGATATCAGTGGCTACTAGGGCACCGCCGGGAGCACGGCTTGCCTAGTTCACCAAAAGCCTACGCCAATTGACTGCACTTCGAGTGGAGCGGACCTAGCTCTACCCCGGATAAGATCCGAGTCCGGAAGAAGAAGGTTCCATGTATGGGCCGCGCTGCCAATCAATGTCACGGAGCAGCCACCGCGCGCCGGCCGCTTTTAGGAGTTCTTTGAGGCGACATCTGGTCTGACTTCTGAGCCATTTGTATAGCGTGCAAGTGCTTGTTCAGGTTTAGCGATGCCTGAACGAGCCTGTATGTGATTGCGTCTTTCATTTTTGCTATCCATTGACTCGAATCCAAGAAAAGAATAGCCAGAGGTGCTGTATGGATGAGTTTTAGTGTACAATATAATATAATAAAATACAATACAATGCAGTTTTAAAGAGATGTCCTCGACGCAAGGGCTGGTGGTGGGCCGGGAAACTGGAATTTAGGAGTTTGAGTGAGGACCGGAAAGCTCCCCTCGTTTTAAAGGGACCCTCCCACCTTCAAAAAAGTTAATGAATTGGCATGAAAGTGATGTCGCTCGGTTCAGGAAGAGCGAAAACGAATATCTACCAAATTTCATCGAAAAATATTCACCGGTTTTCAAGATATTAGACTTTTACTATTGTTTAGGTACTTTCTGGGATCTCCGCTGTTCCTAGCGACTTTATTTGAAAGTGCGGCATTTGTTGCGCGCAAAGCAGCATATACCACCGCATGCTACCAAACGTTTTAGTAAAAGATTTAAAAATCGTTAGACCTCCGCTGACGTCACAAATTCTAAGGGGGCATACCAATGCATTAGCCCCTTAGAATCCGAAAACTGCAAGTTTGAAATTCCATATCTCCGAATTAACCCGGCGGCCGCTGGGCCTCCGCGCCACCCGCCGGCCGCTGGGGGGGGGGGGCATAAAGTTGCCCCCCTTTACTTCTGCGACGATATCGTCGCAACGCGAAGAGGTAGAGAAGCGAAACTTTGCACACATCTTCCTGAATACCTAGCCGAGGTTGTGTCCAAATTTGGTGTCGATCCCATTTGAAATGACGTCACGGTGACGTCATAAGTGAAATTATAGATTTGCGACTCTCATATTCCTCACGATACATCACATATATGGGACCGAATATAAAGGGCCGATTATTGGTCAGAAACTCGATGGAAGTGTAGTAAGATGTTTTAGGATGACAGCAGGTGCTGTCTAGTTCATTTACAGTCGAGTTTCATGCTCAGCGTCATCAGAAACTGTCCATATCGGAAAACGACAAAACTTTATGACGTCACTGTGACGTCATCTTAGGGGTTACAACCACCAAACTTTCCTCAAACATTGCCTAGGTATTCATTTGAAGCTATGCCAAGTTTCACGTTCGTAGCTCATCAGGTTTCGGAGATATTTTACAAAAGGTAAAGGGGGGGGGCAACTTTATGCCCCCCCCCCAGCGGCTCGTGGGTTAAAGCATTTTTCGATGTTGTGAGTGCCCATACCGGTATTTTCAGGCCATGGCCACCAATTTGGCTATCTCAACTCAAAACTAATTTAAAGGTGGGAGGGTCCCTTTAATGAGTGACATTACAATTTCCGACAGCAACTGCACCCGATTTGCAAATTTGTTGATCCACCAAACCAACCGTCGTGTGGCGTGTGACCCGCCGGCATCCTGCCTAAACTAGGCCGGTGTGGGCCGCACTGGAGACTAGAGATGTCAATCGGATACCGACTTTTTGGCATACCTACCGATACCAAACCGATACCAACTTGGTATTTGGTGTTCCAATCCTAATGTGTTTGGTATTTTGTTGGTATCATGAACCCCCACTAATGTATAAGAGGCTAAGAAATCGGTAAAAAGTTGGTATTTCCCTCATGTTCCCAAGTTGGTTTGGTTTGGATATTTCTCCACGGTTTTGGTTGGTATGGTATTTGCCATTTGGTTTGGTATCGGTATTCCGATTTTCCGTAATTGACATCACTTCTGGAGACCCATCTCCGCCTCCTCTGCAAAACTCCCTGCATGCAGCTGAGCTGGAGTCCGCCGTCCCAGTTCGTACTCAGTCCGTCGGTGTAACGGAACGCGCAGATATGCGCCTGGGCCCGGCTACAGCTCTCTGAATGCACGGCTGAGCGGCATGCATAAATGCGCAGAAATCGGAGACGACTGCCGGACACACATGATGGCTGAAACCCACTGACCTGGTTACATTGGGACGAAAAAGCTGCCAACGCTCTGCCCGACTCTAATCCTGCCCGTTTGGCTCCACCGTCCACAGTCCACCGTCCACAGTC